ATATATTAGATTTTATTTAACATTAAATTGTGTCAATTTATACTAACCAATATATTGCATTATCAATATTTTGAAATATAGACTGAGTCTAGAGGTGGTGTGCAACCTCCCCATCAGGAGAAATTCAAGGAAACGCACACCTTCAGAAAAAAAAGAGGGAAAAGATCAAGAGCCAACGTGGATCAATGAAAAAGCAAAGTATCGATATGTAAGTATATATAACATATAAATTAGCATAAAATGTATGGTTATAAGTGTGAAAAAAATTTATGTAATTAATCTAAATTATTTAGCAAAGTCTACTTTTTTGTATAGATTCTTTTCAAACTATTTTTGACAACATTATTACTATTACTATTATTTTTTCAGGATACTTATGTTGCGGAGTGCACAGATAGTCATGGCTCTGATGCTAGTTCGTGGCCACGCATGGATAACGAGGCATAGGTTAAGGCTGTTGGAGGTTGCTCATCTAATTTCATGCCAGGGATTGGCTCCTAAGTAAATCCAGAGATGGTTGGTTTTACTTAGAGGAAGAGACAACCCCGAGAAAACTTAATAGCAGCACTGATGGCATCTGACTATGAGGAGACACAGGCAAAAGATCATGAGGAGTTAGAAAGACAACGCCAACAAATTGCTTTGATGCAACAGCAACTGGCCAATATGACAGAAGCTCAGAATAATATGAGCCAGACAATCGCATAGTTTGTTGCAGCAGCTCTAGCCACTCATGGCATCTCCCCTCAAGTAGGTCATCATCCAGTTGCCCCACCACAGCCGTCACATGGTCCTGGCTCAGGTCTTCACATGAATTCAACTTTCACCTACTCCACTGATTCTACACAAACATCTCCTATGGTCCCTGAATATCAGCAACAACGGTAGTTTCTGCCTCAAGATGATGATGCATACCATCCTACTTTTGATCCAGACTATCAGGGTCCTTAGTTTTTTTATTTTTCTGCTAAGCACATTATCTGCATACTTTGCATGGTCGGCTTTATTTGGCTTAATTTAATTTTTAGTCTATTAACTATCACCTTGATTTTATTTTAGTCTAAAAACTATGTTTTATTTCTAAGTGATCTATTAACTTTCAGATTTATTTCAATTTCATCTACTTGGTCAAAGATAACGGAAAACTTCTTATACTGTTAGAGAACAGTTAGTCCTCTGACTATATTTTTTTTGATCTTTTAATCCTTAAATTTATAGTTATTATAAAAATAACTTTTTTACTTAAAATTATTATTTATAGGCTCCAATACCAAATTTTTATATGGGTTTTCTATTTCTTTAATTTGATATCAGAGCCTGAAAGTTAATAGACCACTTAGAAATAATAATTTTAAGTATAAAAATCTAGTATCAGAGCCTAAAAATAATAATTTTAAGTGTAAAAGTTATTTTTATAACAAATATAAATTTGAGGAATAAAAGATAAAAAAAAATATAGTTAGAGGACTAACTGTTCTCTAACAGAATAGGAAGTTTTCCATTATCTTTGACCAAGTAGACGAAATTGAAATGAATCTGAAAGTTAATAGACCACTTAGAAATAAAGGCTTAATTTAATTTTTAGTCTATTAACTATCACCTTGATTTCATTTTAGTCTAGAAACTATGCTTTATTTCTAAGTGGTCTATTAACTTTCAGATTCATTTCAATTTTGTTTACTTGGTCAAAGATAACGGAAAACTTCCTATTCTGTTAGAGAACAGTTAGTCCTCTGACTATATTTTTTTTGATTTTTTAGTCCTTAAATTTATATTTGTTATAAAAATAGCTTTTTTACTTAAAATTATTATTTATAGGCTCCGATACCAAATTTTTATACAGGTTTTCCTATTTCTTTAATTTGGTATTAGGGCCTGAAAGTTAATAGACCACCTAGAAATAATAATTATAAGTATAAAAATCTGGTATCAAAGTCTAAAAATAATAATTTTAAGTATAAAAGTTATTTTTATAACAAATATAAATTTGAGGACTAAAAGATAAAAAAATATA